GTCTCTCCGTCTCTCGCTCTCCTGCGTGAGCGTGCAGTACGCGCGTGGCGTAAACAGAAGCCAGTAGAAGGATAGCACGACGAGGTTGGAGGGCGACAAGGGCAGGGGCCAGCAGAGCCGGGAGGTTGTGGAGGGATCGAAGAGGTGGCGGCATTAGTGCGTGCCGGCTGGGGCAACAGGGTGCAAGAAGAAAAGAGGGAGAGACGAACGAAATCGCGGAAGAGAGTATCGCGCGGCGAGAAGAAGGAGAGAGGTGGAGATCGTCAGAGTGAGAAAGAAACGATTACAACGTGGGGTCTGGTTGCACACGATGCGCATGGGACGAGGTCTTGATGACGGCCAGGATCCCTCGTCGGCGACGCGTCTTCCGCCTCGTGTAGAAACGGCTCGGCTCTAGGCAAGCTCACCCCTCTTCACTTTCGACGCTCGCGACGCACTTCCCTGGGGGAGGTTGTAGCCAATCAGCGGTCGAGTTTCCGTGGCCCACGGCCGCAGGCTGACTCCGCGTCTCTCCCCGTACCTAATGTAGGTTGTCGAACGTACCCTCCTCGCGTTTTTACCTTTGTCCCCTGCCTCCTACCTCTGGAAGGCCGAAGGTAACGAAGGTCATCCGCAGGGGCCCTACACTTGATTCGATTTCACGTCTCGCCTCGTCTCTCTTCTTTCTTGCGTATACCTGTATGTATCGGTACACTTGGTTGACGAGTCGGGGCCAACAGTGATCGACGGGGGGCGTCGATCACATTTTTTTCTTCAATTTTTCTCTTTTTTTTTCAAATTCTGTCTGTACAACTGAGATTTCGAGGGAGACTACACGTTTGTTCCACCTGCCCACGATTTACTCGAGCAATCGTGCTTAATTTGTTTCACTGGTAATAGGATCCTTTCAAGGACTAGCAAGATTTTGTAAGATATTGTTAACTTGGAGATGGACTTTTTCATACAACTGTTTCATCAGGTAATCGTTACTTCGGCTATCATAACGGCAAACGTTTCTTCGGGCACTGTGTCTTTCAAACTTTGTCCTAATATCTCAATATCTTTGAAGAATATAGTAGAATTCTGTTTAGATTAGTATTAATTTGTATCGTTGATCTGTCATTTGCACGCACGATGATTTCCATCAGCTTGGTATCTTGCACCGAGGGCTGCTCGGTTCCATTCGAACGTAAAAATGGCGTGCATGTGGAGGAGACATCGGATCAACTCAACGTATCGCGAAAAAAACCAATTGGTTTGCTCGTTTTATCTTTATGTAATTTGTCAATTGCAAATCCCTTTCGAATCGTACGATAATATTTCTTCATCTTCGAAGCAAATGTTGAATATTATTTCGTGTAATTTTAC